TCAGAATCAGATTCAGACTCAGAAAACTGCATTAAAAGTAAATGCCATTATTTAAAGATTTGATCGAATCTCTGTCTCACATCGAATATTCTACAGAGAGATTGAATTCAGGCACAGACTCGATCGGTTGATAATATTTAATTGCATTTTTATATTTTCCTGAATTCAAATAAACCCAGTTAAGAATCCTAAATATCTTATCGCCACCGGACGATAGAGGCCCTTCGTCCGGTGTTGGAGGAGTGGGTGGGACGCCGGCGCGGCGGCTATATTTTTTTTTTTAATTTAATATAACTATATATTGATAAAATTCATTGCTCTCAGTTGTTTCCTAACAGAAAAAATGATTAAATATCACACCAAGGTTTTGACAGTTCTGGAAAAGGGAATAATAATCCCATAAAAAGTTACAGAAGGCAGCAGTTCCAAGTCATCTGGATCTCATGTGTTGATAGGCGCTCCCCAGGGTAGAATCCTGAGTTTTGGGTCCATTCCCATTTTTACTATATTTTTTTGTATATTGTTTGCTGATGACACATCTTTGTTATTTAAGGTTGACAGGTCCGAATAACTAGGACGGTGTAAAATTCCTCTCACAAGTATTGCACTGAATTAATGTAAATAATTTAAAACTAAATGCTTTTAAAAGTAAATGCATAGAGTTCGCTTTACTAAATGTTACAAACGAGCCAGTGGACATTAAATTAAACAATGAAAAGCTAGATTAAGTTGAATCAATGTCATTATAACTATAATTCAAAATTGCAGTGGAATCCTCATATTTCATTTTTAGCTGATAAACTTAGTTCAGTGGCTTATGCCATACGAAAGATGAGGCAACTTTCTGGTGTAGATATCATACCTACTGCTAGAACTGTATACTTTATTACTTTCAAAGTATTAAATCTTATGGCATTATTCTCTGGGGAACAGCAGCAGATATCGAAACGATATTTATTTTGCAAAAACGTGCTGTAAAAGCTATATATCAACTAAGCACAAGACAATCTCTCAGAGAAAAATTTAAATAAATCGAGTTTTCGACCGTTGCTTCGCAATTTATCTACAATTGTATACTTTTTGTTCGAAACCATATTAACTTTCATTGTAAACACAGTGATGTACATACTTTTAATACTAGGAATAATAGATCAAGGTATACATTTCTATAATAACATTCCCAGTGATATTCTTGATTTGCTTCTAAATGGTATCGTGTCTTCTGCCTATTAAAATTTGATTTTATAATTTCACCATTTTTGCCTAATCTATTACACGCCTTTGTTACCTGTTAACTGCCAAAGCTTCCATAATCTAAATTTCATAGTGAGCTAATGTAACCTCTGCTCGAGGCATGCGGTGAAAAATTTTCAGCTTTTATAAAATAACGAAGGTCTGGCGGTCATGTGCCATTAGACTATATAAGGCGATATTAAGTTTGCCATTTGCGCTTTGTAATGGGCAACTATGGAATAGGAAGGAAAGGTAGTTTGCCGGTTTTATAAAACGGCACCTGTCACTTATTCGTCAAAAACTTACAAAACTTCTGCATGCACATAGAGACGTGTAATAGACGAATATAGCAACTATTACTTAGAAAATAAAATCAACTTTTGATCTAAATAAAATTAAGATAAACATTGCACGAAATAAAAATAGATTCACGAACTTTTATTTACGAGATTTATATATAGTTTTACCTGTTCCGATGTCACTTTACCTGCCTGTCAATAATTCAATCTTGCAAGTTTCATTTGACCCACTTCCCGGTCTACAACTAAGCTGAAATTTCGGCTGCATTCACAAATCGAATGACAATTCAATACACTTGAACATGGAGATGATTATGATGTGTTCGTGGGTTCCACGGTTTTAAGCGTAACGAGGTAACAGACAGACAGACACATTTTCGCATTTACAATATTAGTATGAATGACTTCACACCAAGTGTTCACAAAATAACTAGCGTTTTAAATGCCCGGGCAAATTGTTTTATTATTTTTTGTACGTTCAATATTCTTCAACACACTTGCTCAAAATGCATTTAGGTTGTATACATTGTTCGATAGTTGCAAAATACAAACCATCCAACCAACCTTTGTCTGCGAAATAAAAAAAAAGGGGGGGAGGGGTGGGTGCAAATAGTTTCAAGGATGATAAGGGGCTTCATGGGTGATAATAAGGGTATAGTGGGTGAAAAGGGATTCAACGGTGCAAAAGTGGGTTGGTGGGTGATAATAAGGTTTTGGTGGGTGATAGTTGGGATTGATGGGTGATTGGTGATTAGTGATGGGATATGATAAATATAGATACTGTTTTTTGTGATGTGTTGAAAAACGTTGTATGACATTCTCAGACTGATTCTGACTTCGTCTCGGGCTTACGCTTATTCGACTAGTCGTTTGTAAATAAATAATAATAATAAATTAATATTTCCAACACTCACACCAATTAGCCTAGCCCCAAAGTAAGCACTGTAGTCCCGAAAAAAAAACAGGCTTTGCGTTATCTTTAAAAATCAACGTTATATTTATTAAACCTTCCTAATGATTCTGAAAACACACTTGGATATTTTGCCTCTAATAGTCCAGTATCTATAACTTTTGTTTAACAATGATAAACTGAAGCGTGACTAAAGTCAACTCTAAATCAAACAGTGCCATAAAATCCCTACCCAATATCGGAGGACCGCCTCCACGAACTACATGCACATTTAATTTTTCCGAACGGCCCCGCCACTCGACATTCATCTGCGCATAACCTGCACAGCCTAAAACCAGTATAGCTCACTAGATTTTTCTTAGTGTCTAATAATGGAACGTTATAGAAATAATATTTAAAAATCTTTTCGGACCACTATCGATTTCGAATTTTAAATTTATTCCGTTAATACGAAGCGTTTCAGTCAGTGGCTCACCTTTAAACGAGCGAATATTAAACAACTCATCAGCATCACCATCATCTACCTTCACCGACCGCAAATATTTTACGTTTTTACACATTCTCCGCAAGTGACCTTTCACATTGCATATTTTGCACACATAATTAGCAAAATAAAAAGCACATAGTTTGCGTAACCACACACATGCCACTGCACTTTCAGATTTTTTACCGATTTTGAAGAGTTGGTCTTCAGTGGAGGATGTCAACCCAATATGCGTGCTTGTACTGACTGCCACCGCTGCCCGCGCACTTTGCAGGCTATCCACCATTTCGACAGCTTTCGACAACGTTAGACCGGTCAACTCCTGCATGTACATCTTTTCTTTTTCGATACCAGGTTACATCCCTATAATGAATTTATCCCGTAAAGCCTCTTCCACGTTGCTGAACCGGTAAGCAGCTGTGAGACTGCGTAGCCTAGCTGCCCATTGAGCAGCCGATTCCGTTAGCAACTGAGTAGCGGATTAAAATTTGTGATGTTCACTAAAATCCTGTCGATCGCGGCGTAAAATGATTGTCTAGGAGTGACAGAATATCTTCCTATGGTAAAACCTTTGGTAATGCTAAATCTGACGCTAGCTTGTATGTAGCATCGCTGATGCGCTCAACAAAATCGCTCGTCTTTTACTTCCCGCCGGGTATTTTACCGTATCAAGGTCGTTCGCCATGAACCACTGCAAAAGCCTACACTTCCATGTGTTCCAAGTTTGTACCCTGTTGTCGAAATTGTTTAGAATTCCATAATTCGAGCACGCCATTTTTTCTTTTTAAACGCGGGTACTTCAGATTCGTCGCCAATAATGTATATGTGGAACGGAGAGACAAGTGATACGAGCGAAAATGACGATGAACGCAGATGACGCGGATGCAACCGCATAGTAGATACTTATATCTATACAACACTTGTGTTATGGGATACTAGGGTAACGGATAGAATACATATACAGTACTTAAATAAGTATATTTATATATAAATACATATTAAACAGCCATTAGTGGAGTACAAATGATCGTATTCGTCACACAAACATCTGCCCCCACCGGGATTTGAACCCGGCGACACCATGAAACCCGGCGTACAAACCACTCAGACACGGAGGTCGTCAGAGGTTGTAATTACCAACTTACCGCACTTGTTTCATAAATAACTATTATCTACACTCATGTCCAAATAAATATACCCAATACAAATTTGAAATTGGTCTTATACAAACGTAGTTTAGAAACGCACATACATAAAATTTAAATTAAACTCATTACAGTACTGCTAGCTGTATCGTAAAGATTGTTTACTAAGGGCGCAAATCACTATTTTAAAGGAGATAATCGGGATTCAATAGTAGATTCCTGAGTGCAGCGAGGGATTAAAAGTAAAGAAGATCGAGCTTTCAAATAGTGTTGCTCCCTAGGTGGACACTCGCATTATAGTATGTATGAACTTGTAATAAATGGATGGATATGGATAATGGATACTAGGGTAACGGATAGAATACATATACTGTACATATATAAGTATATTTATATAGAAATACATATTAAACATCCATGACTGGAGTACAAATGCTCGTATTCATCACACAAACATCTGCCCCTACCGGGATTTGAACCCAGGACCTCTCGAGTCGGCGACACCATGAAACCCGGCGTACAAACCACTCGGCCATGGAGGTCGTCCATTTAAATGTTAAAAATAAATCCAAATTGATTGATCCAATGTGTGATTTTCATTTGTTTTTCTTAGTGTCAATATGAGTAAATGTAATGAAGAAAATCGATACATTTAAAGGTACGTTTACTCGCTTGCCAAGCTTTGGCAAACGGCAAACAGCCCCAAGCCTCCACAAATCTCGTTTGGCGTTTGAAAGGCGTTTACACGCTTGTGAATGCGTCAGTCTGCAACATACATCCAAGCATGGCGGACACCGAACTTGTGACGGCTATTGCATTTGGTTTAACATACTTTTATTTGAAATGCAAGCAAAGTGAAACAAAAAAAGGAGAACTCGACGACATTAATATCTCTTTTTTATTTTTTTTTTCCTTTACTGGCCTTCCGGTTACTTCAGCAAGACGAATCCATGCATCTGCTTGTTTCTTCTTATCTTTATGATTTGCATCTTTCGGATTCCAGATGCAGGATTCCATCTGGTAATATTCCAGAAACGAAAGACTCTCCTCATTCGACCAGCCTCTATTTTTTTATTTTTTTGTATAATTGAGCATTTGAATACTCGCCGCGAGATCACAATGGCTACTAAACGCTGACCAACATGTAAATATGTCGCAAGCACTTGCCGCAAACGCCCTTTGATCTGAGTAAAAAATCCGACACTCGACTGGATCGTAAGCAAGCACCCACAAGCTCACGCAAGCCAAGCCAAACGCCCTTTTTACATGCTTGCGATTGTCGAGGCTTGCCAAGGCTTGGCAAGCGTGTAAACGTACCATTAAAACTTTACTACAAAAAAGTTAAAAATGTTACGCAAGCCGCGAAAACAATTTGTGACATTTATGCACTTAGTGCAGTGTCTGTCACAAATTTGGTTTAAGTGTTTTTAATCCGGAAATTTTGGTGTCAAAGATGCACGTCGCTCTGGTCGCCTTACGGATTGAATGGATACCATTTTTGGAAAAGTAGCTGAAGAACTGAAAATTTACTACAAAACAGTTTTGGCGCATTTGAAAATAGCTGGGTACACAAAAAGCTTGATTCGAGTACCTCGCGAGCTCTCTGAAAGAAATCTAATGAACCGTGTAATCGTTTGTGATTTTTTATTACGACGTAATGAAACCGAAGCATTTTTGAAGAAGCTGATAATTGGTAATGAAAAGTAGATCACGTACGACAAGAACGTTTTTACAACTACCTTCAAAAAACTACAACATTCCGTGTTAATATTTGTATGGGAGATCATCCATGAGTGCATAGGATTGATTAAAATTTGCACATCTACTCTGTATAAAATAAAAATGTCTCTACTTATATTTGAAGAAGAACGCGACTGCTCTTTAACGACGTTGAACTACGACTTACAGGTCAGCGAGCAGCGACTAAACGTCAGGTTGACAAGGCTGACAGAGACGGCGCTATACGAAGCCGTAGCTAGCCAAGTATCTCTTTCTAAAGCACGATGCGACTTATAAATGGCCTGGTACTGTAAAATCCTCTTCTGAAATGCCAGCCGTAGCGCCCTGTGTGTCTGCGGTTAATTCTTGTATCAAATATCCTTTGAATTGCATGTTTCCATATTCATCTGTGTAGGTTTCATGAATCCCTGGAGTGATGGAAATCCACACCTGTCTTTTTCATGTGTCTTTTGTAATGTAGTAGTTTTTGCTTTTTGGAAAGCTGTAGTTTTTATTACCGCTTTATGCAATCTTGCTTGTTGAAAATGTTCCGATATTAAAAAGGTGCATTTGTTGGTGTCAGTGATTGATGTTATGCAGAATGTATTGGTTTTTGGATCCTTAATAGCTTTCACTACAAACTCAAACCTTAACTTTTCCATTTTTGTAAAAGCTGTAGAAAATGTTGTTTTACAATGAGATTTTACGAACTAAATAGACTCAATTACGAAATAAAACAATTGTGTTGCTAAGAAAAGGGAAATAACATTTATTTCAGCTATTATTTCGTACAATTGTTCGTGCACAAATATTTAATATTTTAATTATTAATTGACAAAGGCCAGAAACCTTTCAGAAATCAGAAATCAATATATCTCTATTCAAATTGGATGCATAGTACAACTCTTTTTAAAGCGTCCAAAAACATATTTTTTCCCTACCACTCGTTATTGGACATATTTTTTAGTTGCGGAGAAAAATGAGCGAAAACAGCATTTACAAATCATTATGTTGTTACAGCATCAATAAAATCATGATTTATTTAATATGGAAAACCTGTTGGATTGATTGGAACAGTTCAAAGCCAAGCATTTTTGTCTGTAATATAATGAGACACTTTGTAATAAGCTTTTTTAATAAGTGTTTTTTTATACTTTCTTTGAATTTATTGATTTATGGTTAACTCTTGGATATTGCTTGGGACTTATTTGTATAAGCGAACACCCCTTAAATGAATTATTGATTTTGTGAAGCCTAGTAGCAGGAAAAGTTAGTTTATTTTTGTTTCTTGTATTAAGTGTGTCAACATCACTGTTTTTATGAGTATAAGTCAACACTGGCATGGGTTGTTGAACGACCCCGTGTAAAACCAAATTTTTTACCGTCCGTATTGAAATGAAGGGTGATGAACTTTATTTACATTAATTTATACGTTTTACAGATGTTTCATATTCAATGTTTCTAATTGCGTGAACAATATACTAATTTTGATTACTAATAAACTAAGTTTTCTCATTTTTTGAAGAATATGACCTAACGTGGTATAGACATAATATTACGCATGCGCACCAAGACAAAAAGTCTTGGTTGGACAAAATATAATGGTTTAAACCGAAAATTGTCTCTGTTTTCTGAATAGAATAAAGTTTACTCATTCCCAAATCAATAAAAAAATACTCTCCTTATATCGTCTCGTACTCGTCAATATAATTTTATCGTTCGTCAAAGTTTTGCAGTGGAAGTTATTTGCTCACATGGACAATAAACGTGCGGCTTTTGTAATTTTACAATTTGCATTACAATTAAACCTACGGGAAAGATAATTTATACTATAGAAGAGCACTAACGTTAACAACATCCCTAACATAGTGTACCCAAAAACGAGGCAAGTATCCAACTGCGGCGACTATTCGGCTTTTACCCTAAGTACAGGTGCATCAGTGTAAGTATTGTACTCTTATTTTTGGTCCACCAACATTACTTCGATTTCCATAACACTAAGAATTGTCTTATCATGAAAGACTTCGCTACTTATAGTTGTGAATAAAAGATTATCTGTTGTATAATGGAACCCCTGTTATAGCGCTCACATTGGCCGACTTGAATCAGTTCAGCGAAGATTCTTAAGGTACTTACAATACAAGGGGAGGACTTATGACTCTAACTACGAGAAAAGGTGTCGTAGACATCCTACCTTTGAGTGAGCGAAGAAAAATAGCGGATGTAGTACTACTGACAAAAATCGCTCAAAGTCTCATTGACTCGCCGGATTCACTGTCAAAAATAGGTATAAAAATCCCTAACAAAACCGTAAGGCGATTTGTACATTTAGATGTCCCCCAATGTGGTACTCATTACAGACAAAACTCTTCTTTCGTAAGGTCCGCAAAAGAAATTAACAAACTAGTAACTTTCCCCCAACTTCACTTATTTATAACTAAACCACAAATACTTAAAAATACCTTAGCTTAATTAATGCATGCTTTAAGCGTCGCTTGCTGCTATATTTCAATTATCTCTAATCTTATTACTTTCCTGTATTTTTCACTTTGGCACTGCTTGTATAGTTTCAACGACGAGCTTTGTATTGTAAGACATATGCGAAAACGTGTTAATGATGTCTAGTTTTACATTTAATTATAATTGCTGTTAAAAAAACACTATACGTATTCCGAATAAAATTAAAATTAAAAATAATTGGAACCCTGCATTAAGTTAGAGGCCACGGAGGCGACTTAAGCAACAGAAGCTAGACTAGTTTAGTCATGAAAGTAAAACCCAATTTGACACTATAAAGGAAGACCTTCAAGTTCATAATTGAATCAATTGAATAATTAAATTCGTTGTACAATTATTGAGGACATGGCCAGCATTTTTATACCTGTAACAGACGACGTCACTAAAATAATGAAAGTTCAAAGTTACGTTTTGGAACCTACAAATTTAATCATTTTTTTATCATTCATATTTATGTAATAGGTATACTTCTAAACTGCCCCCAACAGACATTATGTAGGTAGGTAAAGTACCTATTGCGTCATAAGCACTTATTTCTTGACAGGGTGAATCGGTGTCTATTTATTAGTGTCTTTCAATTTGTTTACAGTGAATAAAATTTAGAAGGTAGGGTAAAACTGTCTAAGTTTTTTCGTAAATACATTTTTTGTAATCTATGGCCACAAAAATACTTGTGTCACCTTACGGTTATCACAAGAAACGGCAAAACTTGATGTGTCATAAATTTTATTATACTGTATTCTTACTAAACAAGTAAATAATCAGATAAGTCCAGGACTTGGCCATTTCTGCCCTAGAATGGGCGGAACACACAACCATCTCTGTCAAAAAAATTCATGATAAGAGATGATCTCTACAAGATGGCGTAACTATCTCTTAACGTGAAAATTTTTGATAAAGGTGGTTTTTTAAATAATGTCTTCAAGTATCAGCTTGCTAATACAATAGGTACCTTATTAATCAAAAATAATTTTAAAAATAAACTAAGCAGCCATAAGTTCTGTTAGAAATGAAAATGCTTTTTTTTAATGAATTGATGTAATATTATTAAAATGTATACCTACATATTGATTAGTCTCAATAAAAAAAAATATTCTATTCGAAATAGCCACTTTATACAGGCTTTTAACCTGTTTGGTCACGAATCTATGGATTTACGCACTGTTTCCAAGGGAAATTTTGCCACTGCTTGCTCCAAAGATTTTATAGGAGACGCAATGTCGCCGTCTCGTTTAAAGCAGGCCATGTCCTCTAAAACTGACCATAGGTTCTCTCTCTCTAAAACGGACCATAGGTAGGGTCAGGGCTAGGTGAGGGCCAGTTTTCAGCTCTTATAAATTCCGGAACGTTGGTTACAAACCAAGCAAGGGCGGATCCAGGGAAGGGTCATGGGGGTCAGGATCCCCCCCCCTGGGCTGGGTCCATCTGTACCCACATCACAATCTGTACCCACTGTGACTTGACCACGACCATATGACCCCCCCTGGCGCCAAAGCTGGATCCGCCCTTGAACCAAGCTTGGGTAGTTTGTGCCTTGTGACAGGTGCAGAATTCTGCTGGAAAGTCCACGGTATATTTTTAAAAAATGTATTGCAGAGAGGTGGAGAGGAGAACATGATCCAAGACTGTATCTTGATACACTTTGGCTGAAGTTTTCACTCCTTTTTCACAAAAAATGTAGTTTTGTGACTCCTTGTTAAGACATGCCCCACCAAACCATCACTGACGCAAGATGATGACCACGTTGTACCTTTCCGACCACTTGAGCAGCTTCTTTAGAACTATGAGCGTACACTTTATCACTTTTAACCGACTTCAAAAAAGGAGGAGGTTCTGTGTTCGACTGTATTTATTTTATTTTATATGTATGTTAACCGATTTCTCCGTCAATTGTGGACCTATTACCAAAATTTTTTTTTTCGAAAGAGTGCACTACCGAGGTGGTCTTTCTTCTAGTCTAGTTTGAGTGATTCTTCTTTAGTTCAATTAGAGATACTTGCCGTTAGGTTCCTTAATAAAATATTTTGTTTGATCCAGTAGTGTTTATTTAATGAGCATTTTTGTTTATTGTTTACTTGGACGATGTAGTTTTCATTAAAATGGATGAAATAAAATTAAAAAAAAATGACTTCAAAATCGAAAATGGAACTAAATTTTTCTATATAGTAAACTTTTCTTTAGATTTAAACATCTAGCAGTTAAATGCTTAAAAAAATACTGCCTATTCTTCTTTCAAATGTTTAATATGTACTTGTAAAGGTATTCATTTGACATTGTGGGTTACCTATAATGCGAGAAGATGGTACTGCCTTGCAGCCTAAGGCTAGAGAAAATTCGACACGGCTGTCAGGACCGCGGTAGCATAATGGCATTCGCCCGGATAGCGAAGGGTGCGGGTTCAAGTCCCGTCTGGTGCCTGGTCCGCGTGGAATTTTTTCTAGTAAAGAAAGGGAAATGCGGAATAAGCTAGAATAACTGCTCAGAATTCTCGTCATGGTATAGACGAGAGAGACACGGTATACAATGCGTTTAATTCTGCCACTGCGTAAATGAAGAGGCTCGAGGTTGTTAGACTAGTCGCCTCCTACCACAACGCCAATAATGCGGAAGCTCGCCCGCACGAAGTAAGTAACGATTCCATCTAAAAAGTGCGACCAATTTTGACATGGAATCGTAAACGTACTTACTCGTACTTCGAGCGACGACCGACGACCTCCGTGGCCGAGTGGTTTGTACGCCGGGTTTCATTGTGTCGCCAACTCGAAAGGTCCCGGGTTCGAATCCCGATGGGGGAAGATGTTTGTGTGTTGAATACGAGCATTTGTACTCCAGTCATGGATATTCAATATGTATTTCTATATAAATATACTTATACTAGCGGACCCGACAGACGTTGTCCTGTCTACACGTCTTTGTGAATCTAAACCATTCTCAGATCCCCTTGAACACACACAAAAAATTTCATCAAAATCGGTCCAGTCGTTTAAGAGAAGTTCAGTGACATACACACTCACAGAAGAATTATATATATAAAGATATGTACAGTATGTGTATTCTATCCGTTACCCTAGTATCCCATAACACAAGCCTTACAGTGCTTACTTTGGGGCTAGGCTAATTTGGTGTTAGGGTTGGAAATATGTTTTATTATTATTTACCAATATTCGTCACAGGACTTACGTCTTGCACAAAAAGCAAGTTGATCAACCGTGAAAAAACGCTGCATCGTTATCAAGACTCCGAGCTTTTCGTGAAGCTATTTTGATCACGGTATCAATCTAGTTCTTTCGATTCAGGCTAAGGATTCAGGTTACAGCGAACTTCCACGACGAGTATTGTGATGTTGCTCTGTAGCACCAGTTTGTGCCGACACAAAAAAGTCATCATCCCAAAATCTGGCCGCGCCAAGTAGGTTTTTTAAAAGAGTAGGGTGGTGTCATCAGTGTCATCTTGCGCACACATCGTAGCTACCAGCATTAATCATAGTGTTCCTTTTTAATTCGTTAGTTGGTCGGGTTGATAAGTCCGTAAACTTTTTTTCGACCACCTCTTTATTTTCGAAATTCGAATTCAGTAATTGTCAAAAAAACTTGATACATAAAACATAACTGAAACTATTTAATAACATCCTTATCTTCGAAAAGTAAAAGATGCTTTTGAACAACAACAAAGCAATAAGTAACTGTTGCCTTATGGCGATGATTAATTAGAAAACAAGGGAATACTCAAAGAAAATTTTAATCTTCGAAGTTATAGTTAACTTGAAGAGCAAACAAGATAAATAAACGTATCAATATCAATTATTGCCAAGAAAGGTCCGATTACGCGCTGCATTGTCTAGGTATCTGTTGAGAAACGTTATCAATTTCAGTGCGACTGCAAGTGTTTTCTATAGAAAACGGTCGATTGCAGCCACGGCTAATTCGTTGTGCGCTTAAATGTAGGCCAGTCTCGGGTACTGCTCTAGTTTCTCAACGCTGCTGAGTAACTTATCTGGTTAGAATTGGAAGCCGTTACCAACGGAGCACCGCCAACTATTTATGTAACTTTGTTGTTGAAACGTGACGTGAAATTAATAAATTTGTTTTTCCGTCTGTATTTGTCGAAATCCTTCCAATATTGTTTCTTAATCGAATGGGTCTTGCGTACACTCAAACAAAAAATATTTCAATAATCTTTTTGTATTAACAATTTAACAAATCACAGTCGATATAACAATTATAAAACTACCTAACACGACGTAAGCTTAATTAAATAAACCTAGATAAAGGCCTAATTAAACAGCACTGACAGGCAGAAATCGGTAGGTTAGTGTCCCTTCTTGTGACCCCAGTGCTTGTGGTCCTCATGTCCGCCCTTCTTGCCGTGGTCGTGGTGGTGGTGGTGGTGCTCATGGTGGCCGCCCTCGTCGTGGTGTCCCTTGTGGTCGTGGTGGTGTCCGCCCTTCTCATGGTGGCCCTTCTTGCCGTGGTGGTGCTCGTGGTGACCGTGGTGGTGGTGTCCCTTGTGGTGGTGCCCGCCCTTCTTGTGGCCGTGCTCCTCGTGGTGGCCACCGTGGCCCTCATGGTGACCGCCCTCATGATGATGATCGTGGAAGTGCTTCTCCTTCTTGAATTCATCGTGCTTGTGCACTCCATGATGTCCCTTGGTAGAGTGCCCCTTGTGGTAATGTCCCTCTTCGTGATGTCCGTGCCCCTTGTGCCCTTTCTCGCCATGATGATGTTCATGATGGTGGCCATCGTGATGATGGTGATGTTTCTTGTGTCCGCCGTGCTCGTCGTGATGTCCTTTGTGGCCCTCGTGGTGGTGGTGCCCCTTCTTGCCGTGCTCATGATGGTGATGTCCCTTGTAACCCTTATGGCCCTTTTCTCCGTGATCATGGTGATGGTCGTGATGGTGTTCATGCCCGCCACCCTTATCCCATTTACCGCCGCCGCCATGACCGCTCGCTGCTCCTTCTAAATCGGCATCCCGTTTTTGACGGCTCACTTCCCGACAGCTGATGTACGCTAGAGCCGCTAAAGCGACATAAAAAAATATAAGAGCCCTCATGTTTCTACTGAACAGGCTAAGCGGAAGCTTGTAGACTGATACCTGTCTCACGGCTGTTATCTTTTTATACTGATAGTCTGTTTGTTCTGTGTTTGATGAAATTTGTGCAAAACACCAAGGTTGCTCGTACAGGCGTACTGAGCTAGTTGCGCAGCTTCCCGGCCGGTGTCTCAACTCTATGCCGAAGAAACCCAGATGACTTATAAAAAAAGGGAATTGAACGAAATATAGGTGCCTATTATTATATTGTACTGTGTAATGCAGTAGTATGCATATAGCCTTAATTACTTGTGCTACGTGCTCTGCAACCATAGGTAATCAGAGATGTAATTATTGCTGAAAGCATAATCAACTACGGATAAACTTCAGTCATTATTCATAGCGATGTAGCCATAGCTCTTCCTCAATATTTTGTTCACTTGTCAATAAATTTTAATTTTACTCCTTGATGTTTTCTCACACTCTTACTGGGTCGTCTGGTAGAGAATGCCTTATGGCATTAAGTCCTCCATTTTCGGTATTTGCAATAAAGTATAAATAAATAAGTAAATAGATACCTCAATAATCTATTATGATTATGACTTATAGTTGGAAACTGCGTGCTTTTTAATGAATGTTGTCAATTGTATACTTATATATAGTGGGAGTTGAGAAAATTAATAAACTGTTGTAGTCTAAGAGCTACTGAACCATCTGACTAACCAGTTTCCCACAAATCTAGATTTTTAAATTATGTTTTATTGTGTTTATAAAGAAAGTACCCTTTAGCACAAGGCTGCTCAACCTTTTGAAGAGTCGGGCCAAAACGATTTAGTCGTTAACGACGGGCCACTTACATTTCCTTTTTCAGTTACTCTCTGGACAAGCGCAATAAAAACTCAATTATTATGAATACAAAATTGAATTATTGTTTATTGGGAACAAAGAGAATCTTATTCTAAATATTATTATTATTAAATAGAGAAACAAAATTTTAATTAAGTTAGTACCTATGTCTGTGTTTCTTCTCAAATCTAAATCAACTTTTTGATTCAAAGTCAAATTATTTATGCAGTTTCGATATTTACATACTCATAAGAATGTCAAATTATGCCAACCGTTCACTAGCTGCCAGGAGGCCTTTTTCTGAGAAGAATGGGCAAGAAACTCAGCAAGTTGTTTAAACCATATAATTATAAAAATATTTGTTGTTTGAAAGATTTTACTATGTTGTTGTTGTTGTTGTTTGTGAATGTTACGTAATTATGTATTTGGTGTTATAATAAAGTGTTAATCTATCTATCTATCTATGTGTAAGTACACGCAAGTGGCAAGAAAGCAAAGAAAAATGCTATTGTCAATATGTCCCTATGTCTCTAATCGCATTAGGTGGGGAGAAAGATCGAATTGGCAGGTAGACAAATATTACAAATTATGCAATGAAAAATTAAGAAATATTGATTTTCCTTTGGAATTACAAAACTGTTGTCATGACCATTGTAATATCAATTTACACAAAATATATATTGATAACTTATATAATAGTATTATATCTGTGCTGAGTTCTTCTGCGTCTGAGACCTACAATATTAAGTGTAATCGAAGTAAACAATTTAAAAAAATGTTTGGCTGGAATAAACACGTTTGTGCTGCTCGCAGGAAGGCTAGGTCCAGTTTTCTTGTTTGGGTAGGATGTGGTAAGCCCAAAAGTGGCAGAGTTTATGAGGAAATGGCTCGAAAAATATTTAAGGGAAAATTGAAGTGGTGTCAAAATCACCAAGAACAAATTAAAATGGATGCCCTTGCCACCTACCATAACAATCGTGATTTTGGAAAATTCTGGAGGTATACAAATGGAATGAATTTGGGACCTGGTCTTCCTGCAAGTATGGATGGTTTAAGTGATCCAGTAGCGATAGCCAACCTGTTTAAAAATCACTTTATTGTTAAATCACCTTTGAACTCGACCCAGTCCATGCTCGACGCTGAGACAGGTTGTGACCCGGTGAGTTTAATAACAGGCAAAAATATTGATAAGGTTATTAAATCTTTGACTCGCGGAAAGTCTCCCGGGCATGACGGTCTCAGCGTCGAGCATTTACGAAACGCGGGACCGCACTTGTATAGATTGCTGGCGCTGTTGTTTAACGTCTGTTTGGTACATTCTTATTTGCCACACGAATTGATGAAGTCTGTAGTGGTCCCTATTTTAAAAAATAAAACTGGAGATGTGTCATCTAGGTTGAATTACAGGCCAATTACATTGGCAACAGTAGTGTCTAAGGTGTTTGATGGGGTGCTTGATTCTCAACTCAGTAAATATCTAAACATCCACGATCTTCAGTTTGGCTTTAGGCCTGGTCTATCTACGGAAAGTGCAATATGGACTCTCAAGCACGCCATCAGGTACTACACTGATAGAAAGACGCCTGTATATGCCTGTTTTTTGGACCTGTCCAGGGCGTTCGATCTGGTTGACTACAGTATTCTGTGGGATTAATTAAAGGGGTGTGGTTTACCCTCAGACTTAATATCTTTGTTTATGTTCTGGTACGGGAACCAGGCCAATTGTGTAAAATGGGCTGGTGTTCATTCGGAAGAGTACAGATTAGAATGTGGGGTTAGGCAAGGGGGAAGAACTTCACCGAAATTATTTAATCTGTACATCAACGCGCTGATTGAGGAGCTTAGCGGTACACGTGTCGGCTGTCACGTAGGGAGTGTTTGCGTAAATAATATCAGTTACGCGGATGATATGGTGTTGCTGGCTCCTTCGATCAGTGCTTTGAGGATGCTTGTGAACATTTGTGAAACCTATTCAACCAATCATGGTTTATCTTATAATACCAGTAAAAGTGTATATATGACTTTTAAGGCTCACGGAAAGACTCCTGAAAACGTGCCCTCTGTAAAACTATATGGATCTGATCTCCGTAGAGTTACGCAATTTAAGTATCTAGGTCATATTGTAACAGATACTTTAAAGGATGACGCTGACCTTGAAAGGGAGCGAAGGGCATTGTCTAAGAGGGCAAATATGTTGGCCCGTAGGTTTGCTCGATGTTCTGACACTGTAAAAATAACTCTTTTTAAGGCTTTTTGTACATCTTTCTACTCGAGCAGCCTATGGGTTAATTTTACCCGAAAATCATATGATGTCCTCCGTGTCCAATACAATAATGCCTTCAGGGCACTGCTGCGGCTGCCGCGATATTGTAGTGCTTCGGGAATGTTCGCAGATGCGCAGGTCGACAGTTTCCCGGCTATTTTGCGCAAAAAAGCAGGTTCATTGCTACGGCGGGTTCGTGGTAGCCGCAGTAGTGTTGTGAGGGATTTAGTGGCTCGTGGGGACTGTCCACTGATAAATATTTTTGTAAATAGGGTTATATCTGTTTTTAATATAATTTACTAACATAGTATTAAGTATTGTATACTAACACATGGATCTATGTTGTCCGAATAATAAATGATTTGAATTTGAATTTGAATATTATACAAAGACTTTTACAAACTGTTACATCTTCCTAATAATAAAACAAATTTATATTTCTTTAACTTTTTAATACAATCAATGTGACTTCTGCCATTGTTTGTCTTTTAATAATTTACTTATATTTGGCGACAAAGCCGACGTTGGCAGTAACAACAAGTCACAAATATGTTGCTCTGGCTGTACTGTGCGCGGCGGGATATTTGAATTTGGTGCGTATTTTCAACCATACTTGCGAGGGCCACTCAAAATTCTTTCGCGGGCTACACTGTGGCCCGCGGGCCTGGGGTTGAGCAGCCTTGCTTTAGCACGTCAGAAAGTACAGCACGAAGTTTCGAACTTTAAATCATAATCATAATAAATTATTTAGGTACATATTTATTTATACTTTATTGCAAATAACGAAAATGCGCACTTAATGCCATTAGGCATTCTCTACCAGACAACCCAGTAAAAGTGTGAGAAAAAATCAAGGAGTAAAATCTGAGTATAAAAAATATTAAAAATGTATTGCAAATACATATTATAAAAACGTATAAGAGGTATATTATCAATACATACTCCGAGATAAACTACTTTCCAGTAACAATTTAGTTAGTCATAAAACCTATTTTGAAAATATGTTGGGTAGTATTTAACACAAACAACGGTATATTTTAGTTCCAAATCTTCTAGAACAACCTCTATTTTCCTCAGGGGTGACCATAGGCATTGCGGAGCCCCAAGTGACGGTTCTTTGTGGGGTCTTTTTTATCCGACTTTTAACAACTTTGGTGACAAAGATATAGTTGTTTTTCAAGTGTAGCTTTGTCTGGCAAGCTCAGTAGCCTTAACGGTTTCAGAGGTGTAGTTAGATTTTTCTTAGTTGCTTATAACCGTGATATACGTCATATTTAAATTTTCAAAAATTAATATGATTTAGCACAAATAAAAGTCATCCTCAAACAACACCGGAAAAGCTTCCCAAATAGCGTATACCTGTTCCACTTCTACTTATTGTCCATACTATCGAAGCTTATGAAAATATCTTTTAAAGCAATTAAACAATTTAGAAGTCAAAGTTATACCTGACCACCAATTTATAGCCCATGACTGACTACTGTTTCATACAGCCCTCAACATAATGGGGTTGCTGAACGTACAAATCGTACACTTGTTGAAAAGGCACGATGTATTTTATCAGATGCTGCGTTACCTCGGGCCTACTGGGAGTATGCTCTGGATACAGCAGTTTATCTTAAAAATAGATCTCTTCATCGCGCCCTCGACGGCAGAACTCCTCATAAAATGTGGTACGGAACTAAGCCGAATTTATAACATCTCAAGGTATTTGGGTGTAGAGCCTTGGTCCATTTTCCAGACTGTTATAGAGAGAAGCTCGATTTCAAAATATCGGAACATTTTATTCGGTTATTGAGATAATGCTGAAAGTTACTATTTTCGAGATAATATTTGTCCCAGGAGAAGTGTAAAGGCACGCGAAATAACCTTTTTTGAGAACCATTTTAGTACTTTAAAAGATAGTTGTAATAATGATATGTATAAGTTTTTTCTAAAGATTTACATATACCCTTATTTTTAAGTAATTCACCCGTGGAAACTACTTTGGTGACAAGTGACAAGCAACCACAGCCGTCTGCAAGCGGAAGTGGCTCTTTTGATCCGAAGCCGAATATTCTGTTCAACAAGAATCTGAAGGAGCAACAAATATCAATACTATGTTCGAAAATTTTGGCAAGTCAGAATCACGGGGTGAATAAGAAAGGGTCGTAGAATCTGGAGGTGCGTGTGAAACAGATGAGTCTGTTCACCGTTAGCCGCTTCGGAGCAGGAAACTTAGAAACTTTGGTTTTTCAATTATTCGTTGATAGTTCGTTGTAAATGGGTCTATAAGTTGAAGACAGACGAGCCTCCCAGTTTTATCAAATATAAAGCAAGGTTAGTTGCTAATCATAGTCAAAACCATTTATTCAGTTTAGGCTGTTACAAGCGCTCATGAATGTCTAGAAGTTACGCCATCGGGTCGTAAATCTACTTCGGGAGACCTTGTACTGAGAAGGAAGAACCGGCAAGAAACAAGGGCCGTTTTTTCTCCCGTTTTATTATTTACAGAGTCGTCAAGTCGAAAAATGACTTCAGAGATGATTCACGAGGTCACTTTTCATTACATAATGATTAAATTTACATTAATTTTTACCTGCATTATGGTTGCTGTGTCATACAGTATAAATACAAACACACTCACGAGCAAAAGTTTGGAATCACTTACTTGTAATTAGCATAAAAATGACACAATTTTAAAGGTTCAACTGTCAACTTTACTTTGATACCAAATTCATTCAAATCGAGCCAGTAGTTAAGGAGCTATCCCGGATTAAGTGAAGGAGATAGGAAAACAAGGAAATATGGAAATATTATATGAATAAAACAACAAAAATTAATAAATAAAAAAATATTTAGCCTTAAAATTAAGTTTTGTACTTTGTTTTCCCTCCCGTCGCCCTAACAATTACTCGAAGACGATTCTTCATAGACCTGATCAGCTTCTGAATTGATTCTTGTGGGATACCTTCTCACTCCTCTCATTTAGACATGAAGGAGCAGGAGTTCTGAAACGAACCTTTCTCTTCAGTTCATCCCACATGTGCTCAATGGGATTCAAGTCAGAGCTGAGCGTTGGCCAGTCCAATGTGGCGATATCGACTTCTTCGAGGTATTCAGTTGTTACACGGGCAGTGTTGTCACACTAGCGTTATCGTGCATAATGAAGAAGTCATCACCGATATATCTCGCATAGTTAACGACATGTTCCAGCAGAATATCGAAAATGTACCGGTCCGAAGTAATGCCGCCTCCTCGTCCCCCGCCAGGCACGAAAACAAGCTCGGTTTTACCGTCGAAGGAAATGCCAGCCCACATAATACAAGAGCCGCCCCCATAAACCACTGTTTCAGCGAAACAGCTTTGCGCAAATCGCTCCTCAGGCCGCCTACCTGTGGACCCATCCTCTGCAGTCACTACCGCGCAAATACATCCTGCTCTCGTTGGAGAACAGAACTTGCCTCCATTGCTCAACCTCCCAATCAAGATGGGTGCGAGCAAGTTGAAGGTGTGCTTGTCGGTGAGCTGCCGTGAGTTTCGGGCCGGTGGCAGGCCTTTTCGGAGTCAGATTCGCTTGCTTGAGTCGTCGACGAACTGTCCATTCGCTGGCTGCTACTCCACGAACATCTCGGAGCTCCTGTTGGATGTCTACACCAGATAAATGTCGATTTCAGAGAGAGGTTGATACGATCCCTCACTGATGTGCACCAGCGCCGTCCAGATCTTGGCCTCGGGATAAAGCCATCAGTCTCCCGAAAGCGCTTCGATAAATTTTCGAAACACAGTACTCGCTCATGTGGAGTCGACGAGTGACAACCTGCTGACTGAGCCCTTCTTGCAATAGGGCTACGATTTGTGCTGCTTCTGTAGGTGTTGTCTCCCTTGTCGTACAAGGTAAAGGGTTAAAAGTAGCGGAGATGTGTACCGGTCAACGAGTGAAAGTCGGCTGATAAAGAAAACCCCTTGTAACCTTCATCTCAGGGAATCCATTTGACCGAAGTCATTTCGGACGTTGCGGTTGCGCATCCCGTAACACACGGGATGGTCGTCGAAAAGCGTGCTAATGAGCAAAAAACCGTACCGCCCACAGAGGACACTCAAGTGTCCTCAGACGTTTGAATGGAATAACTATTATAACACTCAAGTGTCATGGGACGTTTGGGAGGGAACAAAGCTTAAGAAAAGGCATCATAACATCCGTGGTTTTTTGTATATGTGAACGTATTATACGTTTGTAGAGTTTGTTTTATCATTTTTATATCTATCGCAAAAGCAAGGCAGTGTAATCAATCAACCCCGCAATCTCGCGGGGTATCGGGTTCGATCCCCGATCGGGTCAACTTATAAAATATAACATTTTTTATTTTCACTGGTCTAACTAATTATTTTATCGTTGTTTTTCTCCCTTAACACAAAAGCTTCAACTAACTTATTTTGAATAGTAATATAATGTATAGGATGTTGTACAATATTTATTTAATGGATATCATCTGATATGTTTATTACAGTTTATTTCTTGCTAGTTAATCGCTACATACCTTCTATCTAATCTTTGTAAAAAATACGTAATTATTTTGTTTTTTAATCCGTTTATAGCCGTTCTACAGAGAAATTAAGCATTTTCATATACGATTTCGGCAGTGCTTTTGTAGCAAGATTAACATTTAAACATGCGTGTTTAAATTATGTAACCTTTAAAATAGTAAGCTTAAAATTCCTTAGATGGGCAGGTTCCATCTAAGGTCGTAAGTAGGTATATGTATTAAAGCTTATTTTTGTTTGCGAAAAATAAAACTTAAATTGTTTTATTAATATTCATTAGTTTGATAATGATTAGTCTTTAAACATAACGCACATTTTCATTTTTTCTTCTAATAAGCTATTATTCTTTTTTCGAAACAATTTAAGTAGTATAAAATACTAGTTGACCCAGCGAACTTCGTACCGCCCTAAAAAAATAGGGGTTGTCCAGCGGACAAAATTGTGAATCTAAACCATTCTCAGATCCCCTTGAACACACACAAAAAATTTCATCAAAATCGGTCCAGTCGTTTAAGAGAAGTTCAGTGACATACACACTCACAGAAGAATTATATATATAAAGATTAAAGAACAATGGCCAGATTTTTATGTGAGCTGGACTTGACTTTTATTTTTGATGTCCCTTAATAAACTATAGTGAGAATGGTTTGTTTTTATGTTGTAAATACTATCCCGTCTGAAAATCTTATATAAATAGCCACGATTTTTTAAAATATCGCCACTAATACTTTTGAGGTTAGAATCAACAAGTACCTTTTACCCGACTGCGGCGAAGCCCAAAATGTAGTAGCGGAAAGCAAAGAGGGTAATTGGCGATCTCATAGCTATTTTATTCGATGCCTCATAGAAAAAAAATACGACTGAACAAAAAAGTGGTTTTTAGTTCAGTCCTATTTTGGGGCATTTTTCTGGCTGTGCCGGCTAAAGAGTAAGTCGTTAGACGAGACTAGATACCTGCTATTTTTCACTCACTGACTAATCGAGTCGAAGTAATAATGGTACCCATCATAAGGTAATAATCATGGGTAAGGGGATAAATGAAAGATAAGTCTTGACAATAATATTCTTTAGTTATCAGTCCGTAAATCAATGCCAAGGTCAAAAGAACAGAAGGTAATCCAAAATAGTACAATTACAATAATTCACAACAACAATCTTAGCGAAAGCGTTAGCACAGAACGATCACTGTCACTGTGTGTCAGTCAATCGATGTTGCCGATCGATGACATATAACGTTCCGTTATATGCATAAACCGAGCAATTAAACAAAAAGCTCATACTTTATTTCTTTTATGATAAAAGTTCTTTAAATACCCAATAACACTAGTTGATCAGTTGCCTAACTATTATTTGAATTACGGTTAACAAGTATTTAGAAAAAGAAATAATTTATATATATAATAGTCACGGAGCACCCCCACTAGAGTCCGCATACAAGGGCAAGGCGTAAGGCCAAGCTTAAGTAGTATATTACCTATGCGTGAGGTCCGCCTACAGACGTCGCGATACATCGTTTCATTCGGTAACCGAGCGTTGGTCGAACTGCTTCTCTCGTTTTCGTGTTAAAAAACTGTAAAAAATGCCGTACTGTGCAATTAAATTGTGTGGAAAGTCGAGTACAATTTCCAGTCTTCAAAAAAATGGTATTACTTTTCACTGGTTAGTTTAAATGCATTACAAAAAGACAAAAATACTGTTATATTAAATTGCTGTTAATGTATTTATTTTTTGGTGAACGCGTTGATGTCTTTTTACACTATCCCTTTCTCGCATGGGCTACATCATATGTGCTATCTCGCTCTCACACCGGCACGTGTATTGCTAGTGACTCAGACGCAGCTCATGTCTCAACGCGTAAGTTTGTCGATAAGTTTGTCAGCTATGGAAATGGAAAAAATAAATAAAAACTATTTATTTCATCGTATACAATAATAGATGTCATAAGTATACAACCAACAGTTTTTATTTGATTGAAGTCAAACATATCCTAATAAAATTAAAAAAACGCGAAAATTTGTATGCATATTTGTTACTCTTTCACGCTAAAACGGTTAAACGGATTTGTATGAAATTAAGTGCGCATAGTTTATGACCTAGATAAAGACATAGAATTAACGATATTAAATACCCTAGATACACCACGACCGCTCAAAATGTGTCCCAATATCTAAATAGTCTGTGGTCCCAATCAAGAAGGGCTTGAACTCCACTCAAGCACTTCTTAGTACACAGTCACACGCGGACCGTTGAAAAGTCAAGATGCCAAAGAGTTCCGTGAAAAAATGCAGAAAAATACTAATAGTACGTGAAGTGTCGTTTTTTCGACGGGTATCTAATTAATGTTTTTTAATTAACGCCTTTAAAGCAAATTTTATTGTTGCAATACTTACTATAAACTGATTTAATTTAAAATATTTGTGATATTCAAATGCATGGTCGGTTATACGTCGCCCTTAGCCATCTCTTTTCTTCGCGGCCTGTACCTGCTATATTGTTAACAGCGCATTCAGAATTGCGCGTGATAAGTAAAAAAAAATAAGGTCTATATATTCTTCACATATAACACTAAATCGTAAAATTTTACGAACTTGACGCATGCATTTTAATTAAGACCTTATGCCGTATGCATTAAAGGTGACTTTCAATGTTTAAATAAGGCATTATATTGTTTTTGACCATGCGATCATCTTACGGACCTCCGTGGATCGTCCAATGTACCTTTTGGACACGTTTCGGCCACGATTTTGTTCGTGTTGTTGTATCTAGGGTAGTTAATATCGTTGCATTAATACTTCTTGTCCTGGACGTGTTTTTTTTTTTGTGTTGCTTACATATTAAATTATATGTAGTTACTAGTCGCGTCATGTAATTAGAACGCTGTAAGAAAGTGGAGAGGGTATGATTACGCATTTGCGCACCAAAGTACTAGGCCTCTATTCTAAATTGTTTATCGATAGAAAATATCGATATTTTCTAAAATCGATCTTACCCTCATCACTTCGCTGCACTGAGTATATGATCTGACCTTGACGTGTCCAATCACAGCGGGGCTGACCTCCCTGCACCCCACCGACTTTGGCGATTTTGATTCCAAACAAAATTTGTGTGATGCGGACTCTAGGGGGGGTGCTCCATGCGGTGACGTGACGGTGACGGCGGCAGTGGACAAACGGCCTTAGTGATGTTGAAAGCTTAGATTAAAACAGAAAGGGTAGATACGGCACTAGCCTCACAAAAGTGATCCGCATGAATTGTGGTCCACGACCCTAATCGCTTTAGTCACAACTTGACATGCAAACGACGTACATGTGAACGCCTAAAAGCAATATTGCTAATATTTTGTGTTTATATGATAAAACAATGCCTAAGTGTGTTTTTAATAACTGCTCAAATTGCTCAAGAACTAAAAATAAAGCCCACGGCATCACTTTTCATTCGTAAGTACTATAAAATAGAATTTTCCTAAAAATTGCTTTTTGTTTTGAATCTTATTCGGTAGTGACGTCGAGTACTGGTCGCGTGATTGGTCGGTAGTGCAGTGACGCGGATCTCGCCGTCTCGTTCGCGCTGCCGTTGAAACTTAACGTGCTGTTTCGTTCGGGTCGGTAATGCAGTGACGCGGATCTCGCCGTCCTGTTCGCGCTGCGGTGGGATCAGTTTTTGTTTATTGCAAGTATGAGCGTACCGTATCTACCCTTTTTGTTTTAATCTAAGGTTGAAAGTGCAAGCATAGTGTAAAAAAACCTAACCTAGAAGTTTTGTCAACTGTTTTCAGCGACTGGTAAATACATTTAAACATTTTGATATTAATTTCAAGTAGGAAATTTCATAAGGATTACGGCGATGTAATATCATTCATAAGATTTTATTGTACCGTATTGCTATGAGATATCGATTTTCGAAGTTCTAAGAAATAAAATTCTTGGTGCTCTGACATAACAATCGCTAACGGCCCCTAAAGACCCGTTTTGGTCTAGTACCCATTGGACCCTCAACTTTCGACCCAAAAGCAAAAAGTGTCCATTGGACCTCTTTTTTGGTGTCCATTGGAACTTCTTAAAAAGTTTTATATTTTTTCCGAGTCCAATCGGGTGACGGGTTCATATTCAATTATACAAAAATCCATACAATTTAAAGAGCCAGATAAAGTCCGGACTGTAACCTTACAGTCTTGCCTATAATAAAAATCTAAATAAAAATCCAATTATCACAATCAAAAATTAACCTATGAAACAATCTCTGTCTTCCAATTTATAACTTTAACACGAGATTTAAGAACAAGCTTGCCGTTCCATGTTTCAGACTCCAAAAATCAAGAGGTTCATTTCTGGGTTGTAGTATTGCATTGTTTAACAAAGTTCCCCAAGATCTGATTGAGCTTCCACTGACTAAATTTAAATCTCAGATCAAAAATACTCTTATGAATAAGGGCTATTATAAAGTTGATGATTATCTAAGTGATCGTAATGCATCACGGAGCACCCCCACTAGAGTCCGCATACAAGGGCAAGCGCTTACGCCAAGCTTAAGTAGTATTTTACCTATGCGTGAGGCACGCCTACAGACGTCGCGATACATCGTTTCATTCGGTAACCGAGCGTTGGTCGAACTGCTTCTCTCGTTTTCGTGTTAAAAAACTGTAAAAAATGCCGTACTGTGCAATTAAATTGTGTGGAAAGTCGAGTACAACTTCCAGTCTTAAAAAAAATGGTATTACTTTTCACTGGTTAGTTTAAATGCATTACAAAAAGACAAAAATACTGTTATATTAAATTGGTATTAATTGTATTTATGTTTTGGTGAACGCGTTGATGTCTTTTTACACTATCCCTTTCTCGCATGGGCTACATCATATATGATATCTCGCTTTCACACCGGCACGTGTATTGCTAGTGACTCAGACGCAACTCATGTCTCAACGCGTAAGTTTATCGATAAGTTTGTCGGCTATGGAAATTGAAAAAATAAATAAAAACTATTTATTTCATCGTATACAATAATAGATGTCATGAGTATACAACCAACAGTTTTTATTTGACTTCAAACATATCCTAATAAAATTGAAAAAACGCGGAAATTTGTATGCATATTTGTTACTCTTTCACGCTAAAACGGTTAAACGGATTTGTATGAAATTAAGTGCGCATAGTTTATGACCTTGATAAAGACATAGAATTAACGATATTAAATACCCTAGAAACACTACGAGCGCTCAAAATGTGTCCCCATCAAGAAGTACTTGAATTCCACTCAATCGCGGACCGTTGAAAAGTCAAGATGCCAAAGAGTTCCGTGAAAAAATACAGAAAAATACTAATAGTACGTAAAGTGTCGTTTTGCGACGGGTAGCTAATTAATGTTTTTTAATTAACGCCTTTAAAGCAAATTTTATTGTTGTAATACTTACTATAAACTGATTTAATATAAAATATTTGTGATATTCAATTGCATGGTCGGTTATACGTCGCCCTTAGCCATCTCTTTTCTTCACGATCTGTACCTGCTATATTGCTAACAGCGCATTCAGAATTGCGCGCGAAAAGTCAAAAAAAATGGGTGCGTGTACTTATGTAGGCGCGTGAGAAGTTATCCTTCTTTGGCATCGTTTAAAATTAGTTTTTAATTGCATGCAAATAATTAATTACAATAAATTAATAAAAAATCTGGAAAAGGACACAGTCAATAAAGTTCAGTTTTAATTTGAATAAAATAAATAAATAATCAAAATATTCAATTAAAATCGCTACTGAATATAATTTATTAGAACATATGTGATTTGCACTTGTATGAAACTCAAACACGTATTCCGAATATACAAACTAGAAACATGTGGATAAATATTATAAATATGAATACCTATAACGGTTACTTTATTACAAAAAATAAAGATGAGGTTTTTGGTTCTACTACACCAATGGTCAAGAGATGGCGCTGTAGTCTCCTGAATCGCGCTTTGGTTCCGTTGTTCCAGATTAATAAATACTTTTGATATTATAAATATGAATACCTATAACTGTTACTTTATTACAAAAAATAAAGATGTGGTTTTTGGTTCTACTACACCAATGGTCAAGAGATGGCGCTGTAGTCTCCTGAATCGCGCTTTGGTTCCGTTGTTCCAGATTAATAAATACTTTTGATAGGCCTTCACAATGCAGTCGTTAGCACCCACTAAATAGAGATTCTATTTCTATTTTGTTGGTAGACTTTCTTAATGTGCGGTAAACACAAAAGTAACAGCATGAAGTTGGTCGACCTAAAGCGACCAACTTCATGCTGTTAATTTTTGTGTTACAGTGATGCGCGCGCATCTTAAAATTTCACTCTAATAATTTTTTCATAACGCGCCTAAAGAAGTATA